TTTTATCATCTCAGAAGTTATTGACTTTCTAACTTTCACAAATTGAAAATATTACTTTGCATAACGCTTTGTTTCACACTGCAAAATGCCAATTTTTTTATTACTTTTCATCGACATCTTCCAATTTTCTCTCCAATTTCTTTATCATATTATTCGACTTGTCAATACAGGCCACATTATGCTCAATCTGCCGAAAATTTCATGAAATTTTCCGGAAAATTTACCAAAATTTTTCCCACTTCATCGTTCAACTCGTGACCAGTATTCGTCATACTATTATATTCCTTCAGCAATTTCTCCTTCATCTTTCGCTGCCTAAAATATACCAAAAATTTTCCAGCAAAAAATTCCAAATCGAAATTTTCCACAAAATTTTCTCACCTAGTAGCTTCTGCTCTAACCTTCACAAGAGCCTTTTCCTTAACACGCTCTTCCCCCCGCAAAACTTCAGCCTCGTTATTCAACAGCCGATATTTCTCCTCCATCTCACTGATCCGCTGGGACGCTGTTTGTATCAGTTTTAGATATCTGCGTTGAGGAAATGCAAGTGAGAGCAAGATTGCAAGATTGCAAGCTATCACTTCGACCGTTCATTCCTGATAATCTCATAAGCAGATCTACATTCCTTCTGCCGTAAGCCACACCTCTCCAACCGCTTGCGTTGCTCCGCCTCCTCCGCCATCTTCATCTGCACCTACTCCACCGAAACGCAATTAGCGCGCGCCCTGGTGATCGATTACCTACTCCCCCTAAAGCCTGCTTGGACAACTTTTTCATCGCATCCGTGTCGTGATGGAGCTTCTCTCGCTGGCCCACGAGGAGCCTTTCCCTTTGACATGCAGCAGCTTCTGCTTTAGCCAACGCCTAAGGCCGAAGTCGCTATTTATAATGGAGTTTCACCACCCTAGTGATATGAAAAAAATAGTGAAAAACATATTTCACGACTACTGCATATCACTACATATATCGCGTTTTCTTTATCGAGTTCTACTGTAACACTCTGTGGAAAACGTGTAGTGTCACAAATTACGTAAAGTGGCTTCATAATACTATAACGCCACTTCACGTAAAACAGGTAAAACTCCTATGTACCAATTATATGTAATCATAGAATAAACTAATTCTTAATATATTATGTTCTCAAAAAATACCTCCTCCTTAACCACAATACCGAACTTTTCCTACAAACTCAATAATTTCCGACAAATTTTTTTTCCCAATACCATTCATCCGTCACTACCTGCAACTCCTTTTGTTGTTCATCGCTTTTCACCAACAACCCTTTATAGTCCATCTCTGAGAGCGAAATTCAATTCCCACCAACTCCAGTGCTGATTTCTTATACTCTTATGATGATCAATCGACTCCTGCTTCATAAAAGCCGCCATAAA